GGATAAAGTTTATCTGAAGGTTGATAAGACAGTGTTGCTGCAAATTGACCTTTTCTTCAACCAGTATATAGCTGAGTAATATGACAAAGAAAATCATCTATATAACACATTTAGGTCCTGGAAATAACTACTTAAATATAAAAGGTCACAATACAGAAATACATAGTGCACTTGKTGTGTACTTACGACTTCGTTGCACTTGCTTGTTGACTTTTAATTTGATGGACTGAATGAAGGTAACTCAATGACGGCTAAGAAAWATAAACGTCATGGAAGATTATTACTASAACATGAAACAATTTATTAACCTTGGCCATTCACATGTGAGGTCATTGGCTCATGGTCAACTCCAAGGTTTGTTTTCATTTAGATAACGCTATCAAAAAAAGTTTCAAACAGAGCCTTCTAATCCTATAATACCTCAGTGTGAGTTGGRCTGTTTGGTTCTGAATCACATGTAGTACCACTAGTGGTTTGGGTGACTGAAGTAACCTGGCTTCCTCTAAAAAAAACATCAAATAACATGGCATATAGTGTAGTAAGCTTAATAAAGGGTGATACCTTACTAGAAAGTGATGAAACGAGCTTTCAACTCCATTTATAGTTTTTCATTTCAGCAGAAGATGCAGCTAATTCAATTTTCACTCTATGTGCACCGTTTCCAACTCAAATAAGTAAATTTAGTTTTGCATGTTTTCATACTTTTCAGCTGGGATGGCATGAACCATACAACATTCCAATTTGAACAATAAAATTGGAGCTCCYGAAGTGCCAGGGCACCTGAGTTAATTGTGTCTTTCAAGAGCTTAGCAAAAGTGCCTTGCAGAAGTTCATAATGAATTTCCAATAAAAATACTAAAATCCAAGGCTAAAATCAGCAATGAACATTAGTGTCAATAATAGAGCAGCGTCATGTCCAGGTTTTTYTGGGTTGGAAAAGTCCAAGAAAARTTTTGGATGGAAGTCATGMCATCRTCCCACTTTCACACTYGACAAATCACCCGTCTGAGACGACTTCTCCGTCTTGTGTGTGAAGACGGTCAATAGAAAAATCGATTACATAACAATAACTTACATATATACCACACATGAAAACAAAACATTTTTGTTGGTCAATCTACCCTAGATTAAAGATTCGACTTAAATATAACTCAATTAATCCTGATGTCTAAACAAATCAATACGAAAACGACAAAAACAAACATTTTCTTACAAATCCACAGTTGAACATTTTTTACTTAAGTTAATATAAACTTACAAGCCTTTTGCGCAAGAAAAGCTGAAATCTAATAAGCTAAGTTTTATATTTTTGGATTTCACGTCGCGCAAAATGCTTAAAAGTAGGTCATGCAATTTTTTAGTTGGTTGCTTTACACATTCAAAAGCAAAAAAAAAATGGTCTTAGGAGAAACGCAATCAAGTGACGTGGTGTTGCAGACGAGAACAAAAACTTTATGAAAGTGGCGAAATTGTAATGGCTCACCCTGGCGAAGATGGCCCTTGCGAATCCTCGGTTACACCATAATAATCATACAAAAACCCCAAGGTAGAGGCCATATTTGAGTCTTCGCCATTCACTTGTGTAAGCAACGTCGTTGTCAAAGGAGCATCCTGAGTAAAATACGCCTTCCAAGCACGTTCTTCGCGCTCTGAGGACTGTTCGGCTGGAGTGCTCGACGTTTTTGAGCTTGATCCCGTCGAAATCACTACCGTAGTGCCATCGCTGCCTCCCTTGGGGTCCATTCTATCACTAGGTATGCCCTTCCTTMAAACAAAGAGTACATGAAAATTAAAAATACAAGAGGACAAAGAACAAAATCTACAAGAGCTTATGATATTTTTGTCTTGGGCGAGTAGTAACGGCGGACACGGGGGTAGAGGCACACCATCAACGTGTTCACACATCACATGGAACGAGGTACAATTTTTTTAACTTTTCAACTGACTTTTCCTTCGTYTAGGAACAATACTTACTTTGTATCAGTTGAGGACATACCAGTAAATGTTATGAAAATCTTAAACTCATCACTTTACATCCACATAAACAATTCGGTGCGTTTTTTATCGAAAACGCTGGCAAACGTCTACCGCGTGCTCGTTTTGTATTCGATTTCCATTCGCCAGGTGCTCGTACTCCATATTTGGGAATATTCGTAAATTTTAATGTCACAAGGCCAAGGTCGCAAGTTCGGCTGTGCACGTTTTAGTTGAGATCGACAAAATAAAAATCGCATCGACAAAACGATACAGTAACACGTCATAATATGMTATATCACTATTTTGTTGATTTTTCTCATGGGAACATTAGTCACAAAGAAAGGAATGGTCRTTCCAGGAGCCCTGTCATTTCAAAAAAAAAAAAATTGTGTATTTTATCAAATAACAATTTCCATGGAAAATAGCTTATAATAGCAACACTATGCAAACATTGTGGACACTTGCTACAATTACTAAGKCAACATCCAGTTAACAGATATAGTGTCCTCTATATGGTTCCTTTAGTGATCTTGAAACATAGCTGTGCCTTTCAGTACCTTCATGCGCACAATATTAGGGAATGTACATTTATTATGCTGATCGAGGAGGGAGAGGCAGGGATGCCATCTCTCCCAGATTTGCCAGAAGGCTCCTGATTTCAGATCAAATCTCCCGGTCACAAGATTGTAGCCCTAAATCTTCTGGATAGCACAATATTTTCAAAGAATATTACATAATGTAATTATACTACCATCGTTGTGGATTTTTAATTACAAAGAAAACCTTTAATGAATTATGTCGCGTTTCCTCGATCTCTCAATATGGTACCATATTTTCAACGAAATACCTACAGGCGTTGCTTACATATGCGCGTGCATGAAAAATATTATGCAATGTCTAATCCATCCCATTGGTTGAAACAGAAAATATGATTTCGTGACGTCATGAATGACATCATTCACATAGTGTGACGTCATACACATAATCGTGGCAATTTCTCCAGATTTATAAAATTCAGGGGTTGACATCCCTTGGGGGGGAGGGGGGAAGAAGATGTATCTCACTAATTTTCTGAGCCCCGCAAGTTTGGCTTGTCACAAATATTCCTCTTATAGAATATATAATTTTTTTTTCAGAATGTTACTTGGGCCCCCACTTTTCAGTATTCATTTCATTTCAATGCCCCCTTTTTTAATACTGCTCCATTTTGGGGGGTAGTACCTCCTCAACATCTACATACCCCCCTCCCCCCAGATTATATTTACTCCAAAAAAATCTTTCTTGTAACCCCTTCCCCCCATCAGTTAAAACCCTCTCACCTCCACCCTGCTTTGCATAAAAGTTAGACAGTCATTGAAGCAGTACTATACCTTTGAATAATTGTTTGTAGGTAATGTTTCTACATTGAATACAGTCATCWMAKTTTGATGTAAWGGTACGGCTAAATTTTAGAGGATGGCACAGGAAACCTTGRYRACAGTTGGAAAACAAAACTTCAACATTCAGGCAAGTCTGTCAGTTCACTTCTAAAGTACACTTACCATCCATTTATAAACCTACCTTGTATAACCTCATTGTACTGTAATAATTCTTGGAAGTTTAGTTAATATTCTGCCTTGTAAAATAAGCCTGGATTCACCAACTGACTAATACTGAGTGAGCCTGGGATTCTTGTGAATAAGTGARATTTAGGCAGAATTWACTTGGAGCTTGGTTCTTTGTTGAGATTCAGTAAATTTTCATCATACYGATGCGGTCATTTTAAAAGCATTATGGGGTAAAATAAAGAAGGCTAAAGATCTGAATTTACAAAAACCATGCTGATCGAAATACTTTTATATAATGTCTTTAATCAGGTAAACATCGGTGAAAAACTCTATAAATGCGTGCTCTCAATTACAAACCATATCATAAATAATGCTAATAATAAAATAATAACAACAATAATATAATATATATATGAGTTGTGAAGTTGTGAAGATATTACACCTTTATCATAATGGCTGCAGCAATTGTGTTTTTCCAAAATAAGATAGATATGAATATTTTGTCACTGAAACATCAAAGAACTATCAGAAATAAATGTTTTTGGAAAGTTTTAGAACTCTGCACAAAATAGGAAAAAAGTTACGGTGAAATAAAAATACAAAGAAATGTATGTAATTTTCCACCAATGGCTGTCTGTCTMTTTGTTTCTGAATATGAAATATGTGAAAACTTTGTCACTGTCATGTGAATGAACTACCAAAAATAAACATTTTTGGAAAGTTTTACAGCCCTGGATAAAATGCGAGCAAAGTTATGGCGAAATGAAAATACAAAGAAATGTATGTAATTTTCAGCCAAGGCCTTTATAGCCTCGTTCTGGTGTTATGATATATTTTAAATCCTTATAACTTCACCAGAATTTAATATTTTCATTTCAAACTTTTACATGTTGTTATTAGCATAGGTTCCTATCAGCTGTTAGTTTACTTTGACTAAAATTCTAAATTTTAAAAATTTAAAAAATTTAATTTTAATTAGATGGTGGCCATTATGATAAAGGTGTATTTTTAGATACATTCACGGCACCTGCTGGTTCCAAACAAATTCTTGCACTCTCAGTTTTCAAAGGGTAAATACCAGCCAGATAACCTGACAACATTTGAACAATGTTATGTAATGTTTGGTGGATTGACAGGAAACCAGAAAAGAAAGCTTACATATCTTATTACTGATATCCACGCTGAACTCTAAGGTGCTGGCCAAACCCCTTGCAATGATGGAAAATACATAATCAAAACATGATAGYAATTTCATGCACACAGAGTTCATTTTCACTATAAGAAACYTTTTAGGCATAAAAACCTGTCAAATGCAGAAACTGTGCTCACAATAGTMAACCAAAAACATTGATTACAACTCCTATGACTCCTGCTGAGAGAAGAATGGCTGTACCACAAACTATATTTGAGGCTCCTGCAGAGATGCTTAAAGCYTTTCTTGCAAATTTTCTTGCAACTTGTGAATTTTTACTCAGACTGGTGTTTGGCCACATTTGCAAGCAGTCTTCTCCAGGCTTTCCACTAGTGTATTTAAATGAATAATTGAAAAGTCTATCACAAAATGTGATGGGATCACTGTAATAGTCCTTGAATGTCTTACACGGTTTCTTGCATTCATTGCCAGTTTTTGTCCAATTCCAGGTTTTTGTGTTGCCCCAGTTATCTGAGCACGTGTAATCATCCCTGCAGGCTTCAAACCAAGCATCGCAGTCAGAAGCGCACAAAGGCACGTTTGAAAACTTTTGGCGTCTTGTTTTACTATTCTTCACTTCCACAATCCAAGGACTCATGTTGGGTGAGCACTCATASAAACAAGTGTCCATCTCAAGGAATCGTTTACACTGMRCAGACATTGGCTTTATTGCATCACATTGGTTCCAYTTCATACGATACAACGTGAAGGCGCCATCGTTTGCTATGTGACTTGTAGTGTTTGATTTACAGCATGCCTTGTCCTTCCACGGTTTACAGTGCTTGAATTCGCCGGTTTCTCGTCCTGGTTTGTCCTTGTGATGCTTTGAATCGATACACACATTTAGGTACTCGTCGATCTCATTCTCAGTGACCGATGCWACCAGCACGATGGCGGAGAGGAGAACAAATATTTTGAAAAACATAATTAGATTTCAAACTTCTTTAGTTGCAGAGAGAACCAAATTGCCGTTTTTACAGAGCACCACAGCGGCAAATTGTCTTTTTGTGAGATTTTTACTGTGATATTTTGTTTTGCTATCACACGGCCATGTGCTTCTGATAGTGGTATTACTACACATGCATGGTCACGTGGCAGTGTCTGAGCGTCCTGGTGACAGGACATGCAGGAATGTGTATTAATGTGTATTAATCGTGTTTTTAAACATTAATTTCCGTCAAGCCTTTACATAGTGGTTAAAAGTGAAATGATTGTAGATTATTCTATTTTATTTTTTATTTATCTATTAATGATTTTTTAATCATGTTTGTTATGATCCACTCCTATAAGGCTGTTGGTAGCCCTGCCCACAGGGAGCCCAAGCAACGACTTTGAATTTAAAAAGTCACTCTACATATATATGGAGGGGAGATTTTTTAGAACCCATTTATAATGCATATTTAGGCTAAATAGAATAAAAGTAAACTTTTTTTAGAAGTAAAATGTTTTTATTAACTATTATAGATTCAAAGTCATTGCTCGGGTTCCCTGTGCCCTGCCCTAACGGCAGGCGCGTTTGCACGGGGTGGTTCCCAGCGACTAGTCTTTGAAATATGAGACTGAACAGTTTGTTCGTTGTGAATCAGGCTAAAGAATCCTCGTGGAATTTTGCATTCCATAGCCTTCTTCACAGACTTGAAACTGAAAAAATATAAAAGTTGAACCTGGAATGACCGTCACGCACCTAGTTTGAACGGACTGTTTAATTTTGCGCACGACTGTCAAAGTCCGCAAAATCAGTGACCTTGAATGAACTTGACATTTGAAGACATGAATCCAGGCGGACAGTTTGACTTTGAAGACAAAATTTGTTTCGACATCCTTACGCATCTTCAGTTTTAATACGAATGTGAATGAGATATTTTACATGGGCTCGCGGCAGATAAGGATTAAGATATCTTCTAGCGTTGAAAAGATCTTTCACGAGTGAGCGCAAAAATTCCAATAGCCATGTGATATTCTGTTTATCATAATACTATTCTAGATTTAGCACAAAATAATAAATAATATAAAATCATCATGATCATATGAGGAAGTAGCCGCGTTTGTGGATGATTATTTGATGTATTTGCAGGGGCGGATCCAGGGGGGTGGATTGGGTGGCTAGCCACCCCCCTCTTTTATTTGAAAAACAAGACTTAAAGTTATGAAAAAAAGAAATTAAAAAACAGGATTATTTTATTACGGAAAATATGTTACTGTACTTCGAAAAAATATAGGTGAGAAGAACTGTTTGATGTAACTGATGTTTATATATTCATAAATATCTTTCATATGAAATGTTGAAAAGTCCGAAATATTATAGGTGTGCACGAGATAACGATAAAGAACGATAATTTCACATGAGGCAAAAGAGTCAAATTAATTCTAACGTACTAACGTACTTTAATATTAAATTTTGAAAAATCCTGGATCCGCCGCAGAGTTGGACACTGTAAAATAAAGAGAAAAAAGGYCCTGTTTATACGAAATTTTGTTTTCTTTTCCCTGGAGGATTTTTTGGCGGCTTTACTTTTAAGTTGTTGAAAGCTTAGTTGCGCAAATGTCAAAGAAGGCCATGATGACAGCGCTATTCTCGTCCTTGCAATATCACTGGTGGACAGATGTAGTGGTGCAATAACAGGTMAGCAGTTTTTCTCTATATAAAGAAGTACATAAGCTATCTTCACTACAAGAGATCAAGAGACACTGAAGATAAAAGCAAGATTCACTACATATCAATATAAAAGGCAATGGCTGGGGAATACAACATAACGTCCGTGACATCTAATCTTCCCACGTTTTGCGTGACAAAATTTCACTGCTCGTTGCCTTATCAACAGTGCTGTAACTACCATTGCGTTACTGACAACAACTGCTTCGGTAACGTATGCTCTGTTGACGCGACGTGTGGTTCTGGCGAAATTTGCTGTCGAGGAGAATGCAGAGGCAACTGCGATATTCCCTTGCAACTAATTCTCATCTTGACTGTTGGATTTGTAGTGTTGGTTTGCTTGATCGGAGTGATTGTCTGGTTTTACAAACGGAGAAAGGCGGCTAAAGGTAGATCCCAACCTGGTCGAATTCTCACTAACCGGATTGATCCTCCTCCTAATATCAGTTATCAAGCAAACTATGGCACAGTTGACTATTACCCCGCACCCCTCCATACCGGGCCGCAATTAGCTAACGATTTGAACACTGGACGACTTGTAGATTGGTATCCGGTGCGGCCTAACATTGATGTGACCCCACCGCATATTCCACCAGGCGAAAAGGAGCCTTGTTACAGCAATAGGTCTACTCTCCACGTTTGAACCTTATAATGAAGAATTTCGCCTCAGGAGCCAATAAATTAACATCAAATAATATAAAACATAAAGGAGTCTAATATTGTTAATCTCAATTTATTGATGTAATGCATGTCTACTCTTTTTTGTCATTTTCAGAAGTATTTTGAAAAAATTTCCTGATATATAATAAATGGTCAGAAATGTGAATTAATGACTGTGAATATATTATTATAATACAAACGCGGTATTCGTAACTACTGAACATCTTTATGTTTACGTCCATCTCACTTTTTCAGATGGGATTCCTTCCCCCATGCATTTTTGTCGCCGTTTCCATGCTCTTTATCACGACCATTTTTTTTCTTTATTTTCTAGTATTCCTTTGTTTAAGTGAATCATAGATGAATCTGATCATGATAAGAATTATAAACAAAGTATGAAATATCTACTGTCATTTATACAACTTTTCAGTAAAATCAGACGTTTTGATTGGTTGGCTTTCGTGTGTTATCAAAGTATCGATACACGGATTACGTCAAAACTAATTGTTTGTTGTATAAAACAGATAGATCTCATTTTTCCGTGCGTGTGTACTCTAATAGATACACAGATGACGTCAAAATGTAGTGAGAACAACAGTCACGCACTCGACTGCGTCTCGTGCGTACGTTTTAGTTCTCACTACATTTTGACGTCATCTGTGTATCTATTAGAGTACACACGCACGGAAAAATGAGATCTATTTGTTAAATGGCTATCAGGAATCAGGCTATTTTCAGGGTACAGGATCAAAGTTTTTAGAATGAACCGGATCATCGTCTTAGAAATGGGAGATTATAAACTAAAAGCAGCACATATATATCTTTCGCTATGGCCAAAAATTCTAAAACACATTACGGAATATGTTTTCATCAATTTAATCATTT